TTTCTCAGGTGTTCAAATACTTATGTTCAGCAGTGCAAGACAAATAAATTCTTTAAAAATCATACAATGTGATTTCCTGAATTTTTTTTTAATTCTGTCTCAGAGTGGGAATGAACCTACAAAGTGAATTTCAGACCCCCCCATGATTTCTAAGTGGGAGAACTTGCAAAATCGCAAGGTGTTCAAATACTTCGGTTCCTCACTGTATATTGGTTTGAATTTAGTTATAAACAGTTTGAAATTCACTGTTAAATCTATTTCAAATGACCTGCAGCTGTGAAAATATCTGGATGAATAGATTAGGGTTATTTCCAGGTCTTGGTAAATGTGGAAATCATACAGTAAACTTTGGCAGATATGGTGGCCCTTTTGATAAAACCACCACTGATTTGCTGTGGTTTTAGAACATCTCACATACTGATGTGTTGCTATTAGGACTTTGTGGAGTGATGAGAGAGAAATGGTAAAGAACAAGAGATTATTCATGTAATTCATGCTGAACACAAACCTGTGAGTACAATCTATAAATCAAAATAAATGAGTTGAGGAGAAAGAGCTGACTTTATTGTTGGTGCCAGAGTGCTTTGCTTTTCATTTTTCCTGTGGTAAGGGGGTACAAGACAAACTTACAATACACTTTACAGTCACAGTCAACATACTTCTGCTCAAGACGTCCAGGTGAGGTGTGAGTGAGTGAGTGAGTAAGGCATTTTCCCAGTCACGGGCTCAGAAAAGCAGTATGCAGTCTAAAGGTGTGTGTGTGTGTCAGTCAGGGATAAGCGGAGTTTGCTTTAGTTGGGGGCAGCCAAAGGAAAAGCTGCAGAGCGAACCGTGACCGTCAGCCAGCTGCCATTAAACCGACCCACATCTCCACGGAACCAAAACCACGGTGAGTCTGTGCCTAAAATGGGCCTTTATATACTCACACAATATAATTTCCAACATGTCAAGTGACTGAAGGTAACAAGCGGAGCACGTAGAGAATCATCTAACAGGGACTTGCTCGATGATTAAATCGTCGACGCGCTTTGTTTAGTGTATTTTACCATTCAAAGGACAAAAAAGATTTTATTACACCGACGACTTTGTAAGTGGGGGAGCTGAACAAAAGCAAGGGTTTGTTTTGTTTTTACAAATTACATTGTAGTTTTGTTATTTCCAAAACTTAGATCACCGTTTACGCACAGGACAGAATTAATCGCATGCTAAAATATAAAAACTTAAGTCATTTCTAGTAAAAATCATTCATAGCGTCCAGAGAACACACCCCCCGCAGTCTCTGGCCAGAATTTGTTTTCGGGGTAAACGCATTTTGGCACAACACCGGCAGAGAAGGACACTGTGCGCCTTTGTGCGCGGCCGCCGCTGCGGCTCCTCTGCGGTCTGGACTGTTGATCCCCGGGGGGACGCGGACAAACAGTCCGGACTGGGGAAATTCCTCCGTCTCTCATTTCCTGGCCTCCTTCTGCACAAGGAATCGTGGTATGCTGCTAAAATATCAGGTCTTTTCATCTACCAACCCATGGCGAGTTCAAACTAGAGGGCAGGTTTTCTGAAGCAATAGCGAGATAAAAATCCCAAAATCCTGACTACAACGGTGCATAGCATAGTTTACCCAACAATCTGAGCATCGAGACCGGTCATCTGACATGGCAGTGTAATGTGGGCCAGAGTCACTCTAATCCCCAGGAGCACACAGTGCTGGAGAGTTTTCATCCAACTGAGGGAAGGAAATGCAAAGCAATGTGACACACACCGTTCTCCAGCAGAAGCTGTGGTAAATATTGTGGCATAGTGTTTTTGGTTAATCTCATAACATGGTGGAGAATCTTTTAGCTTCCTGCTGGGTCACTGACCTGTATTTTTCTGAAAGCAGGTGCTCCTGATTGATTCTAAGTATGGGATGTAAAGAGCAGTTAGATGCAGTGGTAAAAGAAGTACTTAGATCCTTTACTTATGTAAAGGTACCAATGCTACACTGTAAAACATTCTATAGCAAGGTATTACATTTAGGTAGGATCTTCAGTAATGGTTATGGTGGCATTATGGGCCAAATATTATGAAAGTGTCAAAAGTAAGGTACTCATTCTGGTGAAGAATGGCCCCTGTCAACAATTGATCATGATTTATTACAATTTTAGATTGCTAATATTGTTTTATCGATGTGTAAGCAGCGTTTTACTGGTGTACGTGGTTGAGGTGGAGCTAGTTTGTTGTTTAGTCCAGTGGTTCCAGGAGCTGGGACTCCTCCAAAGGGTCACAAGATGGATATGGGAGAGGGGGAAACTATTTTCGACACAAATCTATTATTATGTTAAATATAAGACTTTCTCCTCAAGCAGTTATTTAAATGAAACCATCAGAGAGGTTTAGAGAGAAATCTCCTTTTGGAATTACAGTAAAAACAATTAGACACTTGCAGTGTGACAAAGGAGCCAGCTGCTTCTTGTACAGAGTCACAAGCCAAAAACATGATAAACTATAGGTTTTTGTGTTTCACATAAAAGACATAAGATGCTTATAATACTATATATGGCACATTGTTAAATATCAACCTGAGCCAGAGGAGGTCTGGGGTCATGGAACATGTGGCCCACCTGCTTCATTGTATTTGAAAAGGGTCGGTTAATATTAGCCAGGTTGATTTTGAAGGTCTAACAACAGATTTGTACAAGGTCTAATCGTAAGTTAGTAAAGGACATCTAATGCTGAAACAGTTAATGTCTAACAAACTACAGAGTGGCATAGATATGAAGTGCCATACAGAAGAGTGAGCGATGAATGATGCGGATTCCTGTTTTCTCTTCAGACATTTCCATGAGTAAACTGCACGTTAGTAAATAAACGAATACATGAGTAACTACAGTACTTCTCTCTCACACACACACACACACACACACACACACACACACACACACACAAATGGCAGCCCGTTGTTGGTGGCTGAGTCTTTTTGATGTTAATTGAAAAGTCAGCCTTTAATGTGCTTGTATGGCCACAAGGATCCACAGTGAAGACTAATGACCACGAACTACTAATATGCACAGAAGTGTGAATGATCTCATTCGTCATTTTGGCTCTCAGATGAACTCCCAGCTCTGTCCCGACTCCCTCTGGGTCCCACTGCTCAGCCTGCTGCTCCTCTACATCCCTGCAGCACATGCAGCTAAATGTCCACAGCAGTGCATCTGTGACCAGATCCAGCTCACTGTGACCTGTGTCAACAAGAACCTGACCCAGGTTCCTCCAACTGTTGATGAGGTTTCCTATTCGCACACACAAACCAACATTTCTGTAATATGTTCAGGTCCTGTGTTGTTCCATTTCATATATAATCCCCTTCTTTTACAGATCACTGTGAAGTTGGATCTTCGAGGTAATGATATCCAGGAACTTCCAAGCGGTGCTTTCAAACACACTCCCTATCTGACTCACCTGTCACTGCAGCGCTGTAACGTCCGCAGGGTGAAGGAAGGGGCTTTCCGTGGCCTCGGCCGCCTTGTCTTCCTCAACCTGGCCAACAACAACATTGAGATCCTCTACCAGGTGCTCACACAAATGCAAATCAAATCTCCCATGAGAACACAAAAAGTTCATCTTTATGTCAAATATCACTTTGTTGTTTTTTTTTTTACCCTTAACTCTCAACTTTGACCGTGGCAAGATGAAGTAATTTCTACTGTCTTTACCTTTTGTGAGTCCAGGAGTCATTTGATGGTCTGTCCTCACTGAAGCAGCTTCTGGTCGACCATAACCGTGTTGAAGAGATCCAGCCTGGCGCTTTCTCTCAGCTGGGCTTCCTCAATCTGCTCTCCCTTACACACAACCAGTTGGTTTACATCCCCAACATGGCCTTCCAGGTACATGTACAGACAACCTACATAAAATACCTAAACATTTCAAATTGCAAGCAAGTTTTAAACACATGCTGCAATTTCTCCTGTTGTTGCAGATTAAATAGCCAAACTCTTTCCTCCTCCCAGGGTTTACAAAATATCAAATGGCTTCGCCTGAGTCACAACTCTCTGAACTACCTGGACACTGAGGCCTTTGCTGGTCTGTTCACGCTCACCCGTCTCAGTCTGGACCACAATGAGCTGCAGTTCTTCCCCACTGAGACCATGACCAGGTGAGGCTCCTTGATAAGCTATGAGGACTACATTTGACATGATCTGGGTTTCAGTGGCATCTGAACTCCCACATGGACTGTACATCTACACTAGGAAACCAAATCCAAATGTGTGGCTGAAAAACATTGGTCAATCTGTTTCCTGGTGTCCGGGAGGGAAATCCCAGAAATAAACAGATCTGAGTAATAACACTGAAATTGTTTTCTTTATTTCTCCCTCTCGGGATCCAGACTGCCTGAGGTGACACGTCTATATCTGAGCTATAACCCCATGACTTATCTGGGAGAGGAGGTGGTGTCTATGGCCAAGCTCACCCACCTCTTCCTGGACCACATGTCCTTGCAGGACCTGGCTAACACAGCTGTATCAAAATCCCCCAGCCTCACGCACCTGGACATTAGTCACAACCAGCTGCGAGTCATCCAACCCTTCTCTGAAGGTTCACCCAAGCTGGCACGCCTCAGTCTGGCTGGGAACCCCATTTACTGCAACTGCTACATGCGTCCACTCAGGTACAGGTCATCTTTGTTGAATATAAACTAATGGCTTTCGGTCAACCACAGGGGACTAATCCCCGCTTTGACTTGTCTTTTCATTACACTACAGGGAGTGGGCAATTCGTAGCAAGGTGAAGCTAATAGGGACATGTGGAGGACCAGCCCATCTCTCTGAAGAAAACCTGGAGGCCGTCCATCCTGCAGAGCTGCGCTGTCAAAGCCAGGAGGCCATGCTGAAAGCCAAGTTTGAGGAGGCAACCCGGATCATGCCACCGCCCACCGAAGGGCCACAGAGCAAGGCCAAGTGTCCTGCCAATTGCATCTGCGAGGTGAGTGGGGTGTAAGACTTGGACTAGTTGGATTAAAAGAGGGACCTCTGTAAAGCACTGACGTTTTTGTCTTGTCTATTTATACTTTAGTTTGTTGTTAACCTCTTTCTTGTATTTGGATTGCATTTACACGTTTTGATACAAAAAAATACTATTAAATAAATAGTTCAACATTTGCTAATACTACCCTTATGTCAATTTTTCTTTTGACAGTACTTCATATTTGTGCTAAGCTACGTTAATTACCTGCTGACCATAGCTTCGTATTAGCTTCACATACACCAGACATGAGGTGTCAGCTTTCTCCCTCAACACGGCATTACATTAGGCACAACGTACAGTTAACCTAAATAAGTAAAAAGGTCAAACTCAGTGCTTCAGGTTAGATTTCTTTCCTGTTAAGTGAGAAGTTGTGCTTTCAAATGTATGAGTCTTAATATGAGCCTACATCTTTCGAAGAGAAATACAAACTTTTTATAATTACACAAGAAAAATTAAAATTCATAAGCAGTAAAATCTTATTTATGTCAGTACATTTGGGTTTAACTTGGTCTGGTATGTTAGCAACCGCCATTAGTAATTAAAGATCCCATTACTAGACCAAATCACATCCACAAGTTAGTATGAGAGCTGAACGTGTGTATAGTTTCTATTAAAAGAGAGTGGGAGAGGCTGATTTGTGTTTGTCCCCTCCGTCCTCTACCTTCACATTACTCCACATCTTCAGGCCGAGACACACCACTCCTCATGTGAGAACCGTGGTCACACCAAAGTCCCTCGGGGTTTCTCTCCCAACACACGGCTCCTCGATCTACGCGGCAACCACTTCCACTACATCCCTAGCAATAGCTTCCCGGGTGTCAACCAGGTTGTGTCACTACACCTGCAGCGCTGCAAAATTGTGGAGGTCGAGGGTGGGGCTTTCAGCGGGATGAAGGGGCTGATCTACCTGTACCTGTCAGAAAATGACCTTATGTCCCTCAGCCCTGACACCTTTAAAGGTGGGCGTTTTAGCAGTACTCCAACTCCCTATACACACTAGTGTTTATACAAGAACCGAATTAAGTTCCTGTAGTCTACATTCACAGGTCTGCCTCAGCTGACTTACCTCCACCTGGAGAAGAACCGCTTCACCAGCTTCCCCAGAGGAGCCTTCAATCTGGTTCCCAGCCTACTGGCACTTCACCTGGAGAACAACACCATCACCAAACTGGGGCCAGCCATCTTGACTGGAGCCAAAGGCCTCAGAGCTCTCTACCTCACTGGGAATGGCATTGATCACATATCACCCAAGGCTCTGGACCACGCTAGTGATCTTGACATACTCCACCTGGGGGGAAACAAACTGAAAGAGGTGCCCACCGAAGCACTGAGCAAGGCAGGGAAGCTCAGAGACTTGAGGCTGTCAGGGAATTCAATTCGCTGGGTGGGGTCCAATGCTTTCCAACCACTGCAAGGCTCACTGAAGGAGCTGTATCTGGATAATATGGGATTGGAGAAGGTGTGTGGGCTGTAGCTGTATACTCATTACCCCTTTTTTTCCGCTTCTCTAAATCAGTACTTAGACCCTTCTCAACAAATCCTTTGCTTCATTGTTCAAACTTCTGATGATCTCTCACAATAGATGTCGCAGAACTCCCTTGTAGGCCTGGGACCACTGTTGAGGAGTCTGTTTTTAGAGGGCAACCAGCTGGAGGAGGTGCCCAACCTCCACCCTCTCACTTCTTTGGAGGTCATCAACCTGGCTGACAACCCTCTGATGTGTGACTGCCCCCTGCTGCCACTACGCATGTAAGACCATTACAGCAAACATAGAAGGTGGAAATTGATTGTGATTTGTCCAGCCAGAGTTTCTAAAGCCTCAGTTATGTATGCAGCCTCTTAAAGCAGGGCAAATCGTATTTTACCTATAGGAAGATTCTTCAGCAATATTTGATTAGTTCTAAGGTTCTACTTGTGCTACACCCAATGACCCTGATCATTCTAGTTATTAATCTGAGCAGTTTATTGAGTGTTTGGGCATTTTTAACAAAAGAATGATTTTCCCCCTGCATCTAGGTGGATTGAGAAAGTCAACCTGAAGGTACGAGCCACTTGTGCCAATCCCCCAGAGCTGAGGGGTCACAGGGTCAAGGATGTCCACATCTTCAAAGCTTGTCCCGGGGGTGAGAGCCTCCCCTCCACCCCCACAGTAAACCCAAAGCACTCCAAGGTGCCCAAAGCAACCAAACCCAAATGGATGCACCTCGACAGCCATCAAGTCAAAATGCTCAAAATCAAATCTAAACTTAACCCAAACACAAAACGGGGCACAGCAAAGAAAGCCACCAGGAGACGCAGCAGAGCTTGAGTCTGCTGTTCTGAGACCAAATCTTCTAGTGAACTGGCAACTGTTGGAGATTAAACAAGGTAAAACCATGGACTCACCTGTCTGCTTCTAAAAATTCTAACCTGTTAGCAAGCTGCTTTACATCTGCCCATTAGCCAGGCATTTACAACAATCAATACTGCACTGAAAAGGGTCAGAAAGATCTTTGTTTAATTAAGGGGACTAGACTGGGTACATGTCCCTGGTAGGCTAGTGGTTAAGGTGCAGTACTCTCACCACTGCGGCCCGGATTCGAGTCAGGGTTGCGTCAGGAAGGGCACCCGGCGTAAACATGAGTCGTCAGTGTGACGGTTCGCTGTGGCGACCACCGAAATTGACTTCCTAGACTGGGTACATGTGCTCTTTGTCAGTATTTTCTTCACCTTTACTGCATTAATTCAGATTCCTAGTTAAGAATATGCTGGTTAGACCAAAGGCTTTTATCACCTTAATGGATGTAAATGCTAGTTATCCACTACAACTTAACTTTAAATCCCAGTTGCATAGATAAATAACAAATCACACAACTGAGGAAACTGCATTTTTTTTAAATCAGTGAAAACATCTGGATATGAAGAGCTACAATTAATATAGGTTGACTTCTTTATTAAAACAATGTGGGTTTTGTCATAAGATCAACCACAACTAAAATCTTAAGGAATAGCTCTCCCTACTAATGTTCAATTTTGGTTGCTGTAATAATATTAAATTAACCTACTCCATCATGGAATAGATTAATCATCATCCCAGTCAATTTGTTTCTCCCGTCACGTCTTTGAGCAGGCACATTCGTCTCATCTCTCCATTCCTCTGGCCTCTCCTGTAGTGTCCTGCTCAGTATTGCTCATTTCATCTGTGGCATTGTCATTTTCTTGGCTCCCCTCCTCTTGGTCAAGTTTGTGTCTTTCACGTTCACTCTGTTCGATGCTACTCTCACAAGCAAAGCTCTCCTCCAACGATCCCCCCTCTTCATTTCCATCTTTTGCCGTTTTGCTTTCCTCTGTCTTGTCATGTGCTATGTCTTTCAAGCTGGTCTGCTCTGGAACCCTGTGTAGTCCTGAACTCTGCTCCCCTCCGTCTTCCTGTTTGAGGCTCCCCAGACAGATCTGTTGAGGGCTGCTGGGAGGCTCAATAGGGGTCTCCATCTCCACCTCCTCCACTTTCACCTGCACTGCAACTACTACAAACACAGAATTACCAGATTAACATGGCTGCCTCACAAAAATGGGAAAAAGTGAACAGGATGTTGTAAGATAATTAGTTCACGCACTCTCCTCCTCCTCTGGCTCAGTCTTGGGCTGGATGAGTGGTGAATGGGTGGTGACCTCAGGCTGCTGACCAGCATCATCTTTAGCTCGCTCCTCTGAAAGCCTCTTTTTTACACTCTTCCTTTCTATAAAAAGCAAAACAAGGATTTGAAGCAAAAATCTTTCTACCATCTTCATGACAGCAAATAAATACACCCATGAGCCATAACATTATGACTATGGACAGGTGAAGTGAATAACACTGACTCTCTCGTCACAATAGCACCTGTCAGAGTCTGGGGTATATTAGGCAGCAAGTGAACATTCAGTCTTCAAAGTTGATGTGTTAGAAACAGGAACAATGCCCAAGTGTAATGATCTGAGTGACTTTGACAAGAGCCAGATTCACTAATGCATGTGGGGAGCAAAAGCAAGCCCACATTGTCCGATCCCACAGAATAGCTACTGTAGTGCAAATTGCTGTAAAACCTAATGCTGGTTCTGACAGAAAGCTGTGAGAACACATTGCATTGCAGCTCAATGCATATGGGGCTGCGTAGCCATAGACCAGTCAGAGTGCCCACACTGACCCCTGTCCACTGCCAAAAGCACCTAAAATGGGCACGTGGGCATCAGAGCTGGCCCATGGAGAAGTGGAAGAAAGAAGCCTGGTCTGAAAAATTAGGTTTTCTTTTACATCATGGGGACAGCTGGGTGCATGTGCATCACTTGCCTGGGGAAGAGATGGCACCAGGATGCACTATGGGAAGAAGACAAGTCGGCGGAGGCAGTGTGAAGCTTTGGCCAATGTTCTGCTGGGAAACGCTGGGTCTTGCCATTCATGTTACTTTACATATCCCACCTACCTAAACACTGTTGCATACCAAGTACACCCCTTCTTGGCCACAGCACTCCCTAATGGCAGTGGCCT